AGAAAGATGAGTTCATCCTTGAAAAAAATGACATCGAACTTGTTTCAAATTCAGCTGCTTTGATTCATTGAGCCACAAGGGTTAAAAATAAAGTTATCAGGCTGGGCGCGGTGGCTCACGCCTGTAATCCTAGCACTCTGGGAGGCCGAGGCGGGCGGATTGCTCAAGGTCAGGAGTTCAAAACCAGCCTGAGCGAGACCCGTCTCTACCATAAAAATAGAAAGAAATTAATTGGCCAACTAATATATATAATATAAAAATCAGCCGGGCACGGTGGCGCATGCCTGTAGTCCCAGCTACTCGGGAGGCTGAGGCAGGAGGATCGCTTGAGCCCAGGAGTTTGAGGTTGCTGTGAGCTAGGCTGACGCCACGGCACTCACTCTAGCCTAGGCAAGAAAGCGAGACTCTGTCTCAAAAAAAAAAAAATAAAGTTATCAGAAGATGTTTGGACATTATCTATGTCTCTGCAAAAGAAATAGTTCAGCAGGCTGATGAACAAGATCTGAGAATTGGCCAGCTACCGAAACAAGATGTTGCATGATTCCTAAGACCTATTTGTGATATTTAACTGTTGCAGTTAAAGACTTCTATTGAAAATAATAATAATAATAACGCAGGATTACAGGTGCTGCGTGCAGTGTCTGTGGTGCCTGGGTGACCGTTTTATGTTCGAGCTCCATGTGTACCCACTGAAGAAACCTGTCTACCAGCCTGCAAAAAGCAAATGGAGGCCTTCTCTGCTTATCAGATGGTTGCCACACACTTCAGAAAATGCATGGGAGAGACAGGAGGCGTACTGTCTTTTTTCACTGTAAGGCTAAGGCTTAGGAGGTATAAATCTCAGAGAAAGTTGCTGATTGCTTCTTCATCTAGAAAGGGTCTTTTCAAATGTCGGCTTGAAGTAGAGGCTCTGTAGCCACAGTCCACTTTTCTGAAATCTGCCTCTCTGGGCAGGAGGCCCAACGGCTGATTCATCTTGCATTCATCAAAACAGTAGGGAACCAGAAACACTCACAACACAGAATCTGTGTCTGAGCCCACATGCTATTTGGGGGTTCAGAGAACACATAGATTCCGGGGCTCTGTGTGGGAACATTTGTTCTGAGGTAGATGATGCACTGACTTTGCAATTTCTGGGTTTTCTTGCCTTGAAATAACCAATTGAAAGCTAACTGGGGTAGTTCAAAGTATATCAATGAGGAGTCTCCAAATTTGATTGCAAATAATTATCATATGGGAAGCTTTCAAAAATACAGATTTTACAACTCTAAATGTTGATTTCAGGGCTCAGTGAAGCCTCTCTGAATCAGATACACCTGGGATGGGGCCCGGAGGTAATTGTTTTTAATAAGGCATTCTAGTAATTCTAATATAAACTCAGGTTTGGAAATCATTTCTTAATCTCTTACATAAGTAAATTAAACATCAATAGAAGAATAAGACAGAAGGGGTTAGGGAAACTGAGAAAGAGGGTGCAAGGAGGAGAATAGGGGAAAAAAATTTCAAAAATATAACAAGAAAAAGAGTGAGAGACATAAATTTTAGACAGAAGGAAACATTGAGCACCGCAGCAAGTAGCTGCCAACTGCGATTTGTACTGGTCTTGAAGAAAGGAACCAGGAGAACAATGTTTCCTAATCCACAGGGGCTGCAATTACTCTTGCATTCGTCATTTGTATACTAAAAGTAAATTAATTGTAATAAGACATTGTCACTGAACAAATGTCTCCTGCTTGGAAAATCAGTGCTTCTGCTCTGTCCCTCCCTTTATGTTCCAGCAGGAGAGCTGAACATTACTGTGGGACAATGCACTATTCTACTGACATTATCTTTTAATTATATCTCCATCACACACAACCTTCAAAGCTTCTGATGAAATATTTCCTAAAAATGTTTGCCTGTAATAGGAACATGTAAACTTGAAGAGCAGAAATGTTTCAAACCTATGTGATACAAAACATCATCTTAATGTCACTAGACTCCCACGAAGGACAGCCAAAGTCATCATTGTGACTTCTATTGAACACAATCTGGATACAGTACAAAAATACTGGGGAAGAAAAAAAAGTGTTTTTGGTATAAAATATATAAGACAATCTGGATATAGTACAAAAATACTAGGGAAGGAAAAAAAGTGTTTTTGGTAGAAAATATCTAAGATATAGAAATAAGATGTAGAAGTATTCTCAGGTTAAATGTCAAAATGAGAAAAAAAATATAAGTTGAGCTAAAAAATACTATTCTAAATATGAGTAGGTAACTCACTAATAAGAAATAAAATGGACCTATTTAGACTTTGAAGTGTTCATTTCTGTTGTGGAAATTTTTATATTCTTGTACATAAAAACTCTAACTTAAAATCTAGGGTTTTCACTGCAAACAACTCTGACTTTGTTTCTTTTCAAAGAAACAAAAGCTTCTGCCCTCTGGGTTTAATAGTCTGTAGGATAAGACAACAGTGTAGACTTTCCTCATCTTTAAAATGGACACATACTCTCATCTATTTAATACCATGAGAGGGATGAGTAAGTTAATATGTATAAAGCATTTGAAGCAGTATCTGGGTCCTTTAAAATATTGTACTAAAAAATATAGTGTTTGCTATGACTATTATAAAGGATAAGATTCTCCTGAAGCTTTTGAGGCTCCATAATTTTTTCTTCTCTGTATTTCCATATTTTGTCCTATAACATTGATTGCCTTGGCAGCAACACATTTTAAGTGACATTATAGTCTATATACTAATAGTTAACCACTTGTGTGCCAGGGGTAGTCCCAGAGATCATCAGTCTCTTGTTCTTAATGTCTCCTGGTTCATTTATGCCAAAAGTTGTCAGGTAGAAATCCAGTCATGCCCTTCAGTATGAAAGAAGATTAAAGATAAGAATAGAAAGCCAAGAGAAGGAGAAAATGACTTGGGAGGGACACAAAGAAAATGTTCTGCTGAAAGAATAGCTCCCCTATGCTAAGGTTGAGACATCATAGAGTCTCATAGAGAAAGAAGGGGCTTCTCATGCATGTCAGCGAAACCAACCATGTCAGCAATGTCAAGACAGTGACAAGATACTGCAACCAAACTACTTTCCTCTCTTAGAGGTTGTAGAATTTCTTTGGCTCTTTCATCATCCTTCACCTGTGCTTTTTTCTTCATTACTGTACCCTACGTACTGCCCCCAACACCACCCTTTTGACGATATTATCTTACTATCTATAATACTGATAGAATTTTCTTAAGCTATACTTATATTATCTAGGCTGAGCCCCTTTCCCTAATTAATTAAACTTGTTGTTTTGTGGCACCAGAGAGTGTCCAGAATATCCATGATTGTGTGTCCCAAATACAATATAAAGAATGCTGTGTTTCTGTATGACACCTAGTTATTTCTAAATAATGTATGCCTAGTTTCTTTCTGTTTTACCTTTTAAAAAGTTAGCATTCTATTGTGATTGATGTTCTACCTCCTTTTGCCATGCCTTCCTTCTCCCATCAGACTTGTAAAATTTATGTTAGTTTTATCTCTACCATTTTAAATGTCAGTTGTCTTCTCAAAGAGCATCCTCTTTACTTAATGGCATCAATTATAAGAAAGAAATTTAAGTAATACATATGCGTCACAGAGACAGATGCAGAATAAAAGGGAGATAATATATTATTTCAAAGGAGTGATTGCAACTGTGCTGAAAGCTTGCTACATTTTCTTGAAAAGAAGTTATATCAAGAATAATGATAGTACCAAATACAACCTTTATTTTAGCATCAGTATATTTAAAGTCACCATGTCAATTATAAGGCAAGGGAACTCCTTCCAGATATTTTATGAAACAAATAAAATGAACAAAGTTCTCAAAGCATTCAGGGAAAGAAAGCTTTATGCTATGTGAAGAAGAACCTGCCAAAGCCCTCAGTCAATCTTTACCATGACATTAAGGTCAGAATTCATTTACAACATGTTCTATAAAAGCCACGTCTTGATTTTGCCCACTGTGTCCTACCACCTGACAATCAGTAAGGTCAGAATTCATATCCTCGATCTATTTGCATATAATTTCCTTTCCATCTGTGCATTACTTAATGCTTCCAACTGATAACAATCCTTTTCTGTTTTGAAGTCAATCAGATTGACAAGCCTTATCTTCTGTTAGTCAAAATAACAGGAAACTAATATAAGGTACACAAAGAAATACATAATTCCCAATGGACATAATAATGAACCAAAAATCTGGAGCTAAAATTCAATTTTGAATACACAAAACTACACTGTCCAAACAGCCTATTAAAAATAAATTATGCAGATAATCACCTGATTTCCTGGTCTACCCAAATTTAATCTTGATATTTAGGCTGTCCTATTTGTGGCATTTCATAAACCCATGTTTTTGATTATATATTTAATGTGGGTTTATGTACAAAACTGTTGTTGAATTCCCTGTCTTGTATATTATCTAAGGTTTATTATATAAAAACCACATAATTAATGATTTAAACCACTTATTCATTTATTATTTATTCAAGGAACAAATATTTGACAGACTAGGTGGTACGTGTCTTTTGGATAGTGGGAAACTAGCTAATAAGAAAGGCGGAATCACTTCCCTAATCAATCTCATATTTCAGTGAGGAATAGAGTCAACACATTAGTGAACAAATAAATAATAGTAGTAAATATGTTTATCTCACTTGATGTCCTGTCAAGCTTTTCTTTCATCAGGTAATAAGGATTACATGGCTTATTGTATTATTAATTTAACTTGATTTTATGTTTAATACACTGGATATGTAATTTTTATATAATTTAATATTATTCAATATCATAATTATATTAGTTTAAAAGTTTCAAGAGGAAGGATAAGATAAAAGGAGGAAGGGTAGGAAATCAAGAGATCTGAGTTTAACTCTTAATTCTTCAGCTTTTTAACTGTGAGATCTTGTGTTAAACCTCTGTTTTCTCTCCCCATATAAAATTAACTAATACCTGCCTTTTTTATTTCCTTGTTTTCAGAAATCGATGAGCCTATGCATACGAAGGTAACATATGTAATTGCTATGGTCTGAATGTTTGTGTTCTCCCATATCTAATCTCCGATGTGAGGGTATTTGGAGCTGAGGCCTCTGGGAGGTGATTAGGTCATCAGAGTGGAGCCCTCATGAGTGGAATTAGTGCCATTTTAAGAGAAGCCTCAGAGAGATCCTTTTTACCACTTGAGGACATACCCAGAAAACTCAGCCTGTGAATAAGAAAGTAAGCCCTCACTAGACAGCAAATCTGTCAGAACCTTAATTTCAAAATTTCCAGCCTCCAGAAAGGTGAGAAATAAATTTCTGATGTTTATAAGCCATCACGTTTATGGTATCTTGTTAAAACAGTCTAAACAGTCCAAGACAGTAATCTATAAACATAAGACATTAAGGAATCATTGCTCAATTAAAGAAATAAATTGAATTAGATTTATTTTATGCCTTATAGCTATGACACATACTTTCCTGGATATATAAGAGCAAATGTTTTATATATCCTTTATATATAATTTATCCTTTTATAGATATTTTAAAGTATCACTAAATCTTTTAAAAATAGAATATTAAGCTCTAGGATTGGTAAAAAGCTTCAAGATTGTCTAGGCTAACTGACACCCAACATCTAAATCTTATCCACAACTTCCACATAACACAAGGCTTCAATACCTCCAGTGATGAGGAACTTAGAATTTACTGGAATAGTTTATTCTGAAAACTATGTTAAAATGTCTTCCTAATTTGGAGCTGGAATGTCTCCTGATAACTTCTGACGAATGGATCTAACTTGAAAATACATGGGGTGTGTATGTCTTGGTTGTGCACAAAGGCACTAATTAATAGGGAATTGCTCTGATTATAAACATCAACTATTTGTACGTTTATTGTGACAACTTTTCTGCCAATGGAAGTAAAATAAATGAAGAAATGCCTTTTTGAAATTTTTGTGAAGGCTTGATTTGAGCTATCAGTAACCCTAATTTATCATTTGTGGTCAGCCAGAAAAAAGCTCATCGCTCCTCCCTATGATGACTTTTCAGATATTTTATTCTGTTTATGATAGTTCTCAGAGCCTACATAGATTCTCTCTCTGAAAGGGACTCAGGTTTTATATCTCTCAATCACAAGTTACCCATGTTGGTCAACATAAAAATAAATGTAACAATTGCTAAAATCATCTAATCGCTCACACAATATTCAATATCTCCTTTCTGCCATTCTCTTGACTGTGGACCTGCATTGGCATTGTAACACCATATTTTGAAGACTTGGATATCAATAAAACACATTAAAATGTAACAATTTCCTATACAATTTTTGGTATTACCCAGTTGACATATAAAGGCACTTACAACACTCCTATGTCATCCCCTACAATTTCATGGGAGCTTCCATTGTCTCTTATGAAATCCAAAATCTTACCTTCTGAAAAATATTTGTATCCAGTGTGTACATATTAGCAGTTATTTGATGTAACTTAGTTCAGTCATATCTTTGAGAAAACTATTGACTATTAAAACTCAACCATTATGTACATTTGATTTTAAACAGATGGCTAATGTGGCAGAGTAATGGAATTTTATCTAAAACTTGTAGCATAAAGGGAAGAGAAATGGACCCAGAATAACTAAAAGGTATGGTTATTACTAAATATTTTATTGCTCTCTGCATATCTGTCTCTAACCAAACCAGCTCCTATTTTTGTATTTCCTATCTAGTAATTTCTGAATTTTTTTCTAGTATAGAACTCATCATTTACAAAACACTTTATATGTTTGATAATAAGAAAATAAGGAAAATAATGCAATTTTCATTGCAAACCTTAAAGTAATTCCAAAATATGTTAATTAAAAGTGCAAGTTCACCTCCTTGCCAGACCAATTTCCTGGGGCCAATCACAAATCTTTCGTTTCTCTCTTAAGCCAATCTGGGACCTAGTCAAGAACCATATTTGGACACATTAACATTTTAAAAATACAAATGGAATTCATTAATTTACTCAATAAATATTAAGCCTACTCTTTCTAAGTAGGGTTGGTTCCTACACTTGGGAATAGGTAGATAATGAAACAGCAGAAGAAAATGTCAGGTATATAATGTCAGTAGGAGAAATAAAACAGGAAAATGTGGCAGTGATGGAAGTGATGGTGTTTTATTAGATGGAAGGTCAGGGAAGGTCATTTCAAGTGGTTACTGGAAAGACTCAAAAGACTTGACAGAGTATTCTGGGACCATGAAACAGCTGAAGCACATGAACTGAGAGAAATAGTCAATATCTGTGGAGCCTTCTTGGTGAGGGTGGGGAGGCTGGATTTTATTTTTAAGTATGATGTGAAGTCATTGGAGTATTTTAAAGAGCAAAATTATGTGATCTTTTTTTTATTCTAAAAATATTATTCTGGCCGCAATGTGATTTTAGATGATGGACAAAGGCAGATAGGAGGTTATGGTAGCAGGGTAGTGGTGCTGGCACTATGAATGGTGGAGAAGAGAGAGCAGAGATAGGGAGGCTACTTAAGAAGAGATTGTGGGTGTCTGGATGGCAGACACCCACAATGGCAGTTATCAAGATAGGATTGGACAGAATGGGTGTATGTTTTAGGGGAAGAGTCAGCAGGGGGTTTGGTGAGGTGAGGAAATGAGTAGGTTGCTCTAAGTATAAATCTTAGAACCCTGACATTGGCAAATGAGCAAATACTTGGCTTGGGCAAATGGTATATTTGATAGGGATGAAAAAGACTGGGAAATGGCACGTTTTGGCATGTTAAGTTGAAGCTATCCCTAAGTGATGCAGACAAAACATCCAGCTGATAGTTGTCTATAAGACAGTAGAGTTGAAGAATATTCAGTGAGGAAGGCCAGAGGCATAACTTTGACAGTCACCATCATGGATGAGATTTAATGTCAAGGAGGTGATCAAAGAGTCATAGTATATATTTTGATTTTAATTCATCTTTGCTTTTTATCTTTGGCTCTGTGGTTCTTATTTTATCCCTCTTTGCCTTTACTATTTTCTTCTATATTTTTGAAAAGTTGAGTCTTGAAATATTTTTTATTTTTATTTTTAAAAATTTGTAAATAAGATATTTGTATGGTAAAACAAATGTTTTCATATGAGTGAAAATGTACATGGAGTGAAAAGTGAGCCCCTCTCCATACGCTGTCCCCTAGCCACTCACTTCCTCTCAGGAAAAGCAATATCTTCTCTAGCTTTTGATATTCCAAAGGAGTGTATTAAATATATTGTGCTATTCCTTTTCTTTTTTTTTTTTAACAGAGTCTCACTCTGTTGCCCAGGCTAGAATGCTGTGGTGTCATCCTAGCTCACAGTAACCTCAAACTCCTGGGCTCAAGCAATCCTTCTGCCTCAGCCTCCCAAGTAGCTGGGACTACAGGGATACATACACCACCATGCACAGCTAATTTTTTCCATATATATTTTTAGTTGGCCAATTAATTTCTTTCTATTTTTAGTAGAGATGGTTTTTGCTCTTGCTCAGGCTGGCTTTGAACTCCTGACATTGAGTGATCTGCCCACCTCAGCCTCCAGAATGCTAGGATTATAGGCGTGAGCCACTGTGCCCAGCCTGTTATTCCTTTTTTATTTCACTGAAAAGTATATTGAAACATTTTCTGCATAGTGCTTATTATGTGGTATGCCATTATTTATTTAACTAGTCAATTGAAAGAGTTTGTGCTATTTGTATTCTTTTGTTATTCTCCCATTTCTTACATTATCAGTTTTTTCCTTCTTTATTCTTTCTTTACCTCTAGATACAATTCCATTTTTTTGGTTCCATTTTATAGCAAACTCCTTTGAAGTTTACTGATCAAGATCACTAAAATTCTTTTTCCTTTTCTGTCTCCGTCTTGCTATATTATATGTGTTTTTGGTTCCTTTCTATAATGATTTTATTGCTATCTTCAAGTTTTTGTCTGATCCCTATCACTTCAGTTGCCTTTGGCCTGCTATGTTCTTTTTCTCTTGTTTGCTTTACAACTCTGCATACATCCTTTCTGCAATCCTTCATTAGCATTATTCACGTGCGAATGGAGGCCATCCTATTCTTGCCTGCCCTTGCACATGTAATGGACAACGAGAGTCAATAGCTTCTAACTGGGCATGCTCTATCAGAACATTTTCTAACTAGGTAGGCTTAGTACCCCGCCCTGGAGGCACACAGCCCTCTGTCTTTCCTCCAAAAAGAGCATATACCCTAATGCCAGGTCAACATATATTGTGTATGTCTCATCTGAGTTTCTCAGGGTAACATGGCAGAAGGAAGCTTCTACCAGTTCATAGAAAATGCATACTATGAAGAAACTGTGCATGGATTTCAAAATTTTTTACACCAAAATTAACCCATATTATTAGTCATAAAATGTCTGAAGAGGATCTAGTTTGAGGCATAAGAAGGATAAGACATCAGTTTGAAAAAATCTCCTATCAGGACAATACGAATTCTGCTAAAATTGAGTCAAGAGCAAACAAATTTATGGTGAAACTTGGGTGGAAGAATGATGAAATCATTGGTGCTGTATGAAAAATGTATGGAACAACAAATGCCCTTATGAAATCAGCAGTCTACATATGGATACGTTGTTTTAAGAAAGAAAGAGACGTTGTTGAAGGTGAAGCCTACAGTTGCTGACCATCCACATTTCTTTGTAAAGAAATAATTAATCCTGTTTGGGACCTAATTGATTAGGACAATGATGATTAACAACACAAATGTAGTCAGCATCACAGACATCTCAATTACCTCAGCTTACCTAATTCTGAGTGAAAATTTAAGTTGAGTAAACTTTCCATTTGGTGGGTGCCAAAACTCTTATACCTAGATCAGCTGTAGACAACAGCGGAGCTTTCAATGGAAATTTTAAACAAGTGAGATCAATACCTTGAAGCATTTTTTCAAAGAATTAAAACAGGAGATGAAGTAGGGTATGATTCTGAAGACAAAACACAATCAAAGCAATGGCTACAAAGTGGTGGAAGTGGCCCAGTCAAAGCACAGGTGAACCAGGCAAGAGCAAATGTTATAGCAACGGTTTTTAGTATGCTCAAGGCATTTTGCTTATTGACTTCCTGGAGGGCTAAAGAATGACAACATCTGCTTATAATGAGAATGTTTTGAAAAAGATAGCCAAAGCTTTAGCAGAAAAATTTCTAGGAAAGCTTCACCAGAGAGTTATTCTTCCACAGGATAATGCTCTAACTCATTCCTCTTATTAAACAATGGCCATTTTGCAAGAGTTTCAATAGGAAATCATTAGGCATCTGCATTTCAGTCCTGATTTGGCTCCTTCTGACTTCTTTTGTTTCCTAATCTTAAAAATATCTTGAAAGGGCACCAATTTTTCTGCAGTTAATAGTGTTAAAAAGACCCATTGACATGGCTAAATTCCCAGGGCCCCTCAGTTATTTAGGAATGTACTAAATGGCTGGTGTCATCACTTACAAAAGTGTCTTGAACTTAATGAAGCTTATATTGAAAAATAAAGATCATATTTTTTATTTTTATCTTGTGATTACATTTTCCATGAACTTTTTGAAGTCCCCTTGAATTTATCTAGGTTCAGGTGAATTTTGCTAGTGGATGTAAGGTGATTTCTGCTTTTCCTCTGCATCCTGTCTCATCTGTAAGTTATTTCTCATGCTAGGCATCATGGCTGGGAACATAAATGAGACCTGTTTGGCATCATTTCTTACTCTTCTACTCCCCCCATGCTGCATGATGTGAAATCAAATTTCCAAGTCACTCTTCTGGTCAGTACACATGCTCAGGATTCAGGATGCAACCATTATTTTTAGAGAAAGAATTACTCTATTTGAGATCTGGAGACATGTTATAGGCTTTTGGTAGCCTTCTTGGATTTAGATGAACTTTGGCAGATAATATTCTTACCTTAGTGCTTCTCTACTTGTTTATTAAAGATATATTTTTTTAAATTTTTGGTTTTATGCTAATATTGGTTATTTTCATAAAAGGAGGAGAATAAAAACTTTTTTTTCTTCGGACTTTTGCTAGTTTTTAGTAATTCAGTAATTCTTCAGTAATCCACATATTCTTTCTCAGCAAATACTTGTTTTCTACTGAGTAGAGGAAACTGACATCAATTTGCTGATCTCCTGTCTATATTAGTATACATACTTGCCTCTTCTACAGAATCTATGCTAACATTTTACATGTCACATTATTTAATCATTACTTCTTGTAGTGGGGATTGTTATTACTGTATATACAAATGAAGAAACTGGGGTTCCAATAAATTAAATATTCTGAATTTAGTGATGGAACAGTAAGTTGAACCCAGATTTGGCTCAAAATACTATGCTGTATGCACCATTAAATCTTACAAGTAAGATTGTTATATTTTATTGACATTTTATTATTCAATTGATTATTATACAGATAGTTTTCTACTTATTGGGATATAACATTGGAAAATATTTATACAAGCTGGTGTATTAAGAAAAATGTGGGCTTTTATTCTAATTATATCCAAAAAACCTGTTTGCTTTCATGTAGAATGATTTGAGAACTGAATAACAAATTTGTGAAAGTACTTAGTTGTGTATTGTATGTAATTATAGTAAGTTTTCAGTAAATATTCATTAGGTTTCTCTTATCAAAATCATTTCACAACCATTAATCAAAAAAATCATCTATTGATTAACTCATGGTATCAATAAATACTTTTTAACTGTACTAACAGTGTAGATACCCATCTAGTTCCCCACAAGGGGAAATTAAAAATTATTCTGATGTTCTAAAGTATTCTCTTTACTCTCTCACATCCCTGCAACACAATACAAAGTTGCCAAGTCATCTATTGAAGATAGGGAATATATGTGAATTTTGAAAATCAGAATGGTGTAATAATAGGGATCTTGGGGATGGATACATATAGAGTTCAATTCCACATTTGTCATTTATTAATTGTTTAAATCAAAGAATACCTCATTTCTTGGAGCTCATTGTAAATTCACATTGTAAATGGAAACTTTTAAAAAACTCACAAGATGGATATGACAATTAAATTATATAAAGTGAGGGAAAGTATTTGCACACAAAGTAGGCATTCAACCAGTTTTTGTTTTATTTCTATATGCTCATATTTAATCTTTTGCTATACAAACCAATAGTTCTTTTATTACTAACACTTAATAAACCAATATAATATTTGGGATTTTGCTGTCATGAAATAATAGAACAGAGAATCCTAAAAACTGGGGAAAAATGATACAAGGAACATTTTACTCTGTAAGCTGTGTCCCAAACACTATGCATTATATATAGAGATTTTGAAACCCTTTGATATAAGTGCAACAGTAAAGAGATCATCATAGGTACATATTCAAATACCAATACCTTTCACACACATATGTATTAACCTAGCTAATAATTCAACTGAATTGTCCAATAAGAAATTTCTGAAAGCAGAAGAGAAAAACAAGATAGCATTAGAAATACTTTTTCTAGAAAAATTCAAAATTTACCTAAAGCCTTTGAAAGGGCAAATATGAGAACCCTTATCAAACGAAAGTCATTTCACTGCTTGAAGAATTTGTTATAAACCTAGCCAAGGAGAAATGAAAGGAAGTATTAATACATATGAACTTGAAAGAAAACCTGGGAGATAAAGAATATTTCAGTTTTTAATTTAATATTTAGGTGAAAACGATGTCATATTCATAACCGTGGTATAAGAGAAATAATAATTTCTCAGCTAGCAAAGAATTCTGCAATTTTGGGTTTTACATTTATAAGTAGCTCAGACAAGAAATGTATAGGGCACAGAGTGGCAGCATTTGGTCTGCAGGTGTCCCAGCTCTACTAGCACAAATCCCACATGGATATTGGAGAAAACACCTCCATTAGATCATCCAGGCAGCTCATACCATTTCTGCACTGGTAAGCCCCTGAGCCACAGTACAGCAGAGGAAAGTTGTATTACATGCAAAGAACATTAGCATATTGAAGACATTTCCTCATTAAGCAAAGAATGCATTTCGATAGCTCAATGACTCATGTTAAACATCCCCCAATACCATAGCTACCACTCTTGGTGACATCCTCCATCTGTGGGGTCCATAATATTTGTTACCAAACTCTTTCTTGCATGTGTCCAGAGCTCATCTCAAGCCTGGATGCAGGACTAGTGTGTTCAGTCACAGTGGCCTCTGCTAATGCATCTACATAGCTCCTGCTCCAGTGTTTCCTCCTAATCAACCTAAGTCCCCTTTCAGCCATCCTGGATATCCAGAAATTTCTCTGAGTTATATATTAGTAAGATAAATATTTAATATCTCTTCTGTTATCTGGCTAGGGAGAATGTAGGGTTAATGAGAAGATCACTGAGCTTTGAAACACCTATCTTTGAGTCCTGACTTTACTTTTTGCTGCTGTGTGGCCTTGGACAAAACAGCCTTTCTGAACCTGTTTCCTCATCTGAGAAAAGTGTGATTATACCTATCCTGCGGAATGCTTATGAAGACTAAATCAAACAATGCATATGAATGTGTTGTGTAGACTACATGTTGTGATATGCAAATCAGTTTTCAGGGTTATCATCTGGATATTCTTTCAGTGGCCCAAGCCAGGAGGTACTATCCAATCATCCAGTATCTCCTTTTGAAATTTATTCTGTTTACAATTTACACACCTCTGTACACATGAGATTTACCCACTCAAATTTTCTCCTCTTTAAAGCTTTTTAATGAACTCAGAAGTATCAATTATTAGCAGATAATGAGAGTAAAATTTTGCTCCAGCCCTGGGATCTTGGTTATTTAATAGAAAAAAAATAGGGCCAAATAACTCTTAAATGAATGACTCCTTCTATATCTGAGGCAAACGATACTTTCGGGACATTTTCTCCACTTGACTGCTTATGGGTAAGCATGGTCTCATTTGTTCATGCTACTATGACATCTAGCACATGCTATGTCATCACTTTAAGGAAGATTTCAAACAACCGGGGTCATACTTCAGGTAAGGCAGTTTGGGTGAAGAAAGGAAAAATCAAGCTAAACTGGAAAGATTAAATATTCAAAGGTCTGTTGTCCACTTGGAAGTAGAACCAGGGGTTTGGGAGTGACTACACAAATGAAAACCATAACTGGGAAGTAGTATATTTTCCTTTGTGTCTCATTCAATACATTTAGAATGACAATGAATATGTAAGAAAGAAAAGCTATGGTTTTTATAAGTGGATTGGAAAGACTATCTCTCCTTTCACTCCTGAGTATTGTTTGAAGAGGGAAAAATACATTTAAAGTCTATTTCTATTTTCACATCCAAAAATAAACCTATATACTTTCTTTTATCTTCCCAAATAGATTAGCTTCTATTATTTTTTGTCTTCTACAGTTCTCAGTTTCCAAGTCACAATTCCCATTTTCATATTGTTATATTCTATATTGTTAGATAGAATGAGCTAAATTGGGGCTTTGATCTTGCCTTAAGGGCTCACAGAGTAATTCCATTTTATGCTTTATCTTTGTTTAGAGTTCCTCAGCCCTGCTGCCTCAGCTCCAGTTGTTTCCCATCATATCCCTGGTGTCAATTTGCCATCACTGCCTGAGATGCAAAAGGCTTATTCAGATCCTTATGAAAATTTAAATATTGCTTGTTCTTCTTACCAATTACAATGTTCATAATCCCATCTAAAGAGCAATTATATTTTGTGTAAACTCTGTGTTACAATTTCAATAGCTGTCTTTGAAAGGTTTTGTTTTTAATTTTGTTACAATTTTGTATTTTGCTTTTGAGAATTTCCAGGAGTCTTGGCATGCTGCTTCATTTCCCTTTTAGTCCACATATTTGGGTGTCATTAGTTGCAGAGGGAGTTACAATTACATGAAGTATTTTGTATTTTTTACACTTTTATGGCTTAATATAGTCAGTTCTTCAGGAATAAAGGTCATATATCCCGTTTGTGGTTTTGGCCTCAATGACTCAGGTAGTTATAAGCAGCTCTAAAAATCTAGTGTTGTGCAGCCCTCCTGGGACGTACTTTTCTAATGAGGAATACTACCTCAAAGTAAAAACATTCATACAGCACTGTGCTTATTGGGACATTTAGAGAAATGTGAAAAAATGAAGATCAATATACAAAAGATCAAAACAAACACATTTTTGGTGAAATATACAGATACACACACATTATTTTCACATCTTTCACTTAGTTGCATCCTCTTCTTGATAACCCTGGAACTCCATTGATTAATTATTTTAATGTTGGCTAGATACAAATGGTTTGTGATTTTGGCTTAATTTAAATTGACCTGAAAACATACTCTAGAACACTCTTAAACCAATATGTGAAATCATCATAGCATAGTGGTTAAAATGTAGGGACTGATGGTAGTTCCTCCCCACCTCCCACTTAACTGCTTAATCACTTTTTATCTCTTGCAAGTTCTTTAAATGTCTGTGTTTCACTTTCCTCTAACAGTTAGAAAAACACTGGGTACACAGCAAGTGCTCAATAAATATTGGCTGATATCATTGTAACAGCAGCTTAATTTCACATCATTTTTCATCATGTATGTAACTGTGGCTTCACTGTGGCTATGTAATAAAACTATATGCATGAATAATAATCAAATGAAGCACTAAAACTGTTCTTAAGCCTTCTTTAATGTAATGACATAAAATTACATTTTAAACTATTGATATGTTATTGCTCCATGAAAAGGGGGTATTTAGGTTTTTGTGAAAAAAATATAGGCCACTTAAACTATACAAAATTACCTGTGGGGTTCCTTAGATAACTCAGTTATATGAAGTCTACTTTTGGAATAGTTGAAAATGAGGTCCATCAAGATGCCATCTATCTAGAAAGATATGTACTAGGATGTAAAAACCTACGGTAAAGGTTTTGCCCTTATTTTTCACTGTCCTACATCAATGGCTATAAAACTGCCTGGTACATAAGTGCACATAAATAGGTGTTGCATAAGAATACACAATATCATTAAGACCGTGTACAGAAAAGACCGTAAGTGGTTTAAAATATGAGCCACAAATCAAAGTCTTACAGTCAGATGCTCTGCTTTTGAAATCTGCTTCTCAAAGGAGCAACTCTAAGTGAAGCACATTCCAAGTGGGTTTCAGTAGGTGCCCTTAGACAATTGTTAAGTAATATTTTAACCACATGTCACTGTTTACAGATGACACAACTCTAAAGAATCGTTAGCAGTACCTGGACTTTTTAGCAAAGTCAATAAAGGAAAAAAAATCTTGAAATTCCAAGAAATAGAATAATAAAAACAAATGAATATGGATATTTTGAGACAGGTGTGCCAAATGGGAGGGGAGTGCTCATACCAAAAGAAGAAAAGTAGGGGTGGGCATCGCAGTCATGGGATTTTTCTGTTGCATGATCACCTTCTTTCAGCCTTTCTCCTCTTGAAATTCGGCCTTCTGCTATAGAAAACAAAACTGCAGAAAATAAGAATCTTAAAAACTTTCCACTGTACTCTTTTTAGGTATGCAACCAGAGGTACAAACAACCTTAGCAGCAAATTTATATTAATACTTTTCCTATGGATTTGTAAACACTAATATTTTCTCATTGTCATCTTTTATTTTCCTTTATGTTCATTACCCAATCCAATCAATCAATAAATTTACTTTAATAGAAAAAAAGGTTTAAAACAAATTTTTTAGGAAAGTCCCAAAACATATTTAAAAACCTTATTACTAGCACAAATAATAAGATAAATGTATGGAAAAATCATGTTTCCTATTTATAAAATTAACAAATATTAAAGAAATATTTCATGTTAATGCGGAAGAAATTCATTTATATTTATCCATATACTAAGGAAATAATCAGGAACGTATATCCTCATTTTATTATCTAATTATTTCACTATTTAGTATTTACCCAAAAGAAATTAAATATACATCCATACAGAAACTTAAGAATGCTTATAGCAGCTTTGATTGTAATAGGCAAATACTCAAAACAATAAAAATGCTCATCAACAAATGAATGAATAGCAAATTGTGGAATATACATTGAAATATTATTTTACAATAAAAAGAAATGACCATTTATACATACAGCAACATGGGGATGAATTTCAGAATAATTATGCTGATTTAACAAAGCCAGGCAAAAATAGTGCACAGTATATGAATCCATTTGTATAAAATTCTAGAAAATGCAAATTAATTTATATTGATTGAATACAGATGACTGGTTGCCTGCAGACGGAGAGAGAACACAGGGAGGGAAGAGATAGAGAGATTACAAATGGGCACAAAGAAACTTGCTTGTGTGATGAATATATTCATTATCTTGATTTGTTATGTTTTTACAGCTGTTTACATATGTTGATCTTATCAAATTGACACTTTAAATAGGAGCAGTATATTGTAATTGAATTATACCTCAATAAATCTATTTTTTTGGAGAAACCATAATATTCTTGGAGAAGAACAGAGTGAGCTTGTTCTATTCAGACTTTTTATAATGTTACTCTAAATAAGACAGTGTGATATTCCTGTGAAGATAGACAAATAGAGAAGTAGAATAAAATAGAGATCCCAGAAAAAGACCTGAGCATATGTGGAGTCTTCATTTATAAAAAGAGTGCTACTCCAAAGCTGGGGAAGGAAAGTATTATTCAATAAATCATGCTGGGACATTTTATATACATAAAAATAAAAATCAAATTTGGCTCCTACTACATGTCATACACAAAACTATCTTTTAAGTAGATCATAAATCAAAATATGAAAGACAAAATAATAGAGTATCTAGAAGATAATATAGGAGAATATCGTCATGACATAAATAAGTGACATAGCTAGCAGACAAATAAAAACACCAATCAAGAGTTAAGATGAATGAGTTTGCCTTATTAAGATTTTTCATCAAAAGATTCCCTTAAGAGAGTGACAAGGCAAGCTACAGTCTCTGTAAAGAAATTTCAGCACATAAAACATAGATATGTCTAAAAGTACCTATACCCTAAAATTAGTAGGAAAAAATGGACAACTATGCAGAAAATGGGCAATGACTTGAAGAGACACAAGAATAATAAAAAGATGGTCAAACTCATTGGTAATCAGGGAAATGGAAAATAAAACCACAATGAGATACTACAAATATCCCCTAGGATAACAGTCTAACACACAATGGGAACTCTCATAAACTGCTGGGAAGGGTGTAAATTGGTACTATTACTTTGGAAAACTAGTTGGCTTTTTCTACTGGAGTTGATTATGAACATACTCTATAATTCAGCAATTCCATTTCATAAGTGTTTACACTCAAATTGTGGTCTGCTCAAATTACCTAGTTCTGGCTCATGAGGGCCAGCTGTTAAATTTTCAGAAACCTTGCAACTTGACTTTTGGACCAGTGGTGACTTGAAACTGGTCATAGAACTTACATTAAAATTGTGTTGAATGTTGTGAATGAGGGCTCTTCCTTTACCCCTGGAAAACCAATGTTTAATATGTGCACTGAAATACACATAAAGTGACATTTGTAGTTGTATTATTTACAATAGTCTTAACTTGGAAACCACCCAAATGTACATCTAAGACAGAAATCATAAATTGTGGTACATACATACACTGGAATATATTATGGGAATAAAAATGATGAACTACATCTACATGTAGGCTTAACAAGGGTACAATAAAGAGCTAATAATATAAGGTATCTTAATATGTGCCAGGCTATCTCTCTGTCTTTGTCTCTCTCTTTGTCTCTGTTTCTCTCTCCCCCTCCTTTCTCTGTTTTAATGCATGCTTATGTATGTGTATCTTTAGAAAAAACAATTTAAGACTACATACTAAAATGTTATCTTTGTGGGATGGCATTATATGTTATTATTTCCTTTTTTCTTTATACCTTATTTTTTATACTGACAAAATATTGCTTTATAATCAGGAAAAGATATAAGATTTTCTTTGTTTAAAAAATAAAGTAGGGAGGCCAGGCGCAGTGGTTTACGCTTATAATCCCAGCATTCTGGGAGGCTGAAGCAGGTGGATTACTCAAGGTCAGGAGTTTGAAACCAGCCTGAGCAAGAGCAAGACCCTGTCTCTACTATAAATAGAAAGATATTAATTGGCCAACTAATATATATAGAAAAAATTAGCCGGGCATGGTGGTGCATACCTGTAGTCCCAGCTACCAGGGAGGCTGAGGCAGTAGGATTGCTTGAGCCCAGGAGTTTGAAGTTGCTGTGAGCTAGGCTGACACCACAGCACTCACTCTAGCCTGGGCAACAAAGCAAGACTTTGTCTCAAAAAAAAAAAAAAAAAAAAAGAAAGAAAGAAAGAAAAAAAGAAAAATAAAGTAGAGGATGGTGGTCATAGTGGTAGGGATATAATTCTTTTTAATTGCTCAGATGATATTGATGTGGCTGCTGGATCCAGATGGGCCAGATTTGAAATCTGGTGTATGTCTTACAAGATGATTGATTCTGCAGAAGTTATTTTACCTTATTCAGGTTTGTTTCCTCTGTAAAATTGGAATAATGATATCACCTATTTCACAGTTTAAGTGTAAAGATAAAAAAGATATACATGCCTAGAAAAGTGATCAGATCAGAGTAGGAATGCAATATGTTTTATTAGCATGCACATGTGTGTTTACTGCCAGCA